CTCACTAGGATAGTTAAGAGCATGAAATGATATGTGTAAAACATGTGGGTCCTATGTATTTCTGCTATATCTGTCGTAATTTCATCTCTGATTCTGATTAATTTACATTGGTTTTCTCTCCCCTTTGTAAGTCTAGTTAATGACTTGTCAATTCTGTTTATTTTTTTCAAAGAACCAACTCGGGTTTGTCTTTTTTTCTATTTCATTTATTTCTGTTCTGATTTTCATTATTTCTTTCCTTCTACTGGTTTTGGGTGCTTTTGTTTTTTTTCTAGTTTTGTCAGCTACAGAGTCAGATCATTAACTTGAGATCTCACTTTTGTTTTTAATGTGGGCCTTTATTGCTACAAACTTCCCCACAGTACTGCTTTTAAAACATCACATAGGGTACGGTGGCTTGTCTCTTCATTTTCTGTAGTCTTTAGATAGTTTTTGATGTCTTCATTGACATAGGAGTTGTTCAGAAGCATTTTGTTTAGTCTTCACATGTTTGTTTCAGGATGCCTTTCGTGGTTAATTTCTAGCTTTATAGCATTGTGGCCTGTGAAGATGCTTGACACAATTTCTATTTTCATATATTCTATTTTCAAAGACCTTTTATGTCCCAGCATGTGTGCTTTATTTATTGAAATAATATGAAAATTCTAATATCAAAGATTTATCTAGCCTTATGTGCATAGTAGCAATGTTCTCAACTGCCAAGTAATGGGTCCAACCCAGATATCCTTCAACAGATGAATGGATAGAGCAGTTGTGGAATATATAATCAATGGAATACTATACAGCTGTGAAAATATGAAATGGTGGAATTTGAACAAAATGGATCGACCTCAAGGTGATTATGTTGAATGAAATCAGTCAAAATGTAGAAGATAGCATATGGCTTCACTCATCTGTGGAATATAAATACCAAAAAAAAAATCATACACAAGGAATAGTAGAAATAAATCTTTAAAAAAGTATAAAGACTATAATGGTTACCAGAGGGAACAAGGAAGAGGGCATGGGAAAGGGAGGCAAATGGGATATGGGCACAGGTGATTTGGTGGAGGTTTGTGTGTTTGTTTTTTCAGTACAACATGTGGATCACACGATCTGTAAAAGACAGTTTCTAGCTACCAGCTTTTTGTGATGACATAAGGCTTCATGATCCAACTAGTTTGGCCTATCATTCATTTACTGCAGAAATACTTATTAACTAAAAAAAAAAGAAATACTTATTAACTAATCTGTGCACCTGGACAGTCCAAATGTAAAGAACACTGTCCTCACCTTAAAGTGGATCAATTATAATTTTAATGTATCATTTGCTAAATATAGATTATAGAGAGCTATGAGCACAAAGAAAGGGTCCCTCCCAGTGGATGGATGGGTAGGACTAACCACAAAGAAGGCAGGAGCAGGGGAGAAATCTCCAAAAAGATAAAAAAAAACTTTGTGTCAAATTCTTATGGCCCACTGATAAAGCTAATAAAGGTGAATCCCTGGAGAGTAATAGATGTTAAATTGTATCACACACAGGAGATATGCTTGGAAGATATTTTTACTAATCTATTTTCTCAGAGATATAAAGGCTGAGTATATTGGATGTTGTCTTTAGTGAGTTAGACACTGTGTGAAGGACAATGCAAGTCCTTTGAGATTTTATTTTATTTATTATTTATGCATATAAGAACTGGGGTACAGGCCAGAGGTGGGGGGGTGAGAAGATTCACCAGAGTCAGAGTGGGGAGCAGAACAGCAGACTGACTGATATACACTGCTGAGGGGAGCAGCAGGTAAGGCAGGAGAGGTCTGATGTGCCATGTGGATAGCTCCCTGGCTGGGGATCAAACTCATCCTGCAGTAACTGCAGATTGCTTCATAGTGCTAACGCTTAACCCTTTGAGCCACCAGGGGGGCCCCATCCTTTGAGATTTTTTTTTTTTTTAAACTCATCCTGAGACCAAAACCAACAGGCGCAGGAATTAGAGACAGGCGCTGGCTTGTGCTCTGGAATTTAAACAAGTTAAAGCAAGTATATATTTATTTGAGACCATTTTATTACCCTGAATTTTGGACAGGATTTTTTTGTTGTTGTTGTTGAAATTCCAACCTGGACAGCTATCAGCATTTTAGACAGCTCAGACATGGTTTAACATTTCCAAAATCTGTCATATGCAACCACTATCAGGATATGCCATTCTGAGTTCCACCTGTACTTTAACTAATACTTTAAAATTAGTTTTTAAATATTTTTCAAAGATTTATTTCCCAAATATGATTAGCAAACAAGATTTGATTGTCCTTGCAGTTCTGATATCTTCGAACATTATTGTTAATCCAGCAAAATCCCAGCAGAGAATCCCTCTTTGCCCACTTCATGAAGTGATGCTCAAATACAATTCCCAATATGCCATGTGGTAGGAACTTAAGATGGACAAATGAAACTCTAACATGGTATCTGCCAATGAAGTGTGTTAGGAAGAATACGTAGATCAAGGGAGGGCCCACCCAAAATTGTCTTGAATTTTACTAGCAGTAGAAATAGAAATTTGGGTGCACTAAGTGAAAAGAAGGGATTTAAAGCCATGACTCCTCTAATTTGCACTAGTTGGGTGGCTTGGGTAAATATTTTAACTTGAGCCTCAGATTCCTTAACATTATGGCACAGCAATTCCTCATAAAATTAGTGAAGCATTGAAATTATTGGAATGATATGAGGGCAAAACCATACTATAAACTCAAAAGTATGTACAGTGTTTATTACTTTACTGGGAATTAAATTTTCAAGATTTAGTGAAGCACATATTTTTACTATTAGAACTTGAAAACTATCATTAATGATAAGGGAATGTCAAAAACAAAACCCTGGAGGACTTCTGTAAAATGAAAAGAAACCTCACAAAGAAGCAACAAGACTCTAAAGACAGAAGAAATAAAGGCAGGAGGAAAAATTGGGGACCGAAGTAAGGAGTTAAAGATTAACTTGCTTTCAATTTAAGATAGGGTATAAGTATAGAACCCCATGTATAAGCCACAAGGTAACCACAAAGCAAAAATACCTAGGAGAAGTAAAAAGAAGGCAAAAACAGAATCCAAACACTACATAAAGGTAACTTTCAGATTCTAAGGAAGAGAAAAAGAAACTACAAAAACACCAGAAAATAAATAGCAAAATTGTAATACTTAGATATTAGTAATTTCTTTTAATGTCAATGGCCTGAAATTATCAACTGAAAGGAACAGAGTGGATGGTTGGATCAGAAAATAAAACTTAGTTTTTCGCTGTCTCCAGGAGACCCATCTGAATTCCAAAGATAAATATAGGCTCAAAATATAGAGTGTATGTATTTTGTGGTTTCAGGTCTTACATCCATGTCTTTTATCCATCTTGAGTTAATTTTTGTATATGCTATGAGATAATGGTCTTGTTTCATTTTGTACGTGGCTGTCCAGTTTTCCCATCACCATTTATTGAAGAGGGCTTTCTTTCTCCAATGTATGCTCTTGGCTCCTCTGTCACAGATTAGCTGTATATAGATGCATGGGTTTACTTCTGGGGTCTCAATTCCATTGTTTTGTGTGTTGTTTTTGTTTTACTACCACACTGTTTGAATTATTGTGGCTTTCTGGCATAGTTTGAAGTCTGGAAGTGATTCCACCACTCTTCCTCTTTTTTGTCAGGTTTGCTTTGGCTATTCTGGGGGTCTTTGGGGTCTCTTGTGATTCCATATGAACTTCAGTAATGTTTGTTCTATTACTTTGAAGAATGTCACTGGAGCCTTGATAGGGATTGCACTGAATCTGTACTGCTTTGGATAAGATGGTCTTTTTAACAGTGTTAACTCTTCTAATCCATAAGCAGGGAATATCAGAAAATATATACACTTCTTGATTAGGGTATGCCTATATTTATAAATAAATGTTCTTATTAAAAAAGAGCATACACACAAAAAATACAGCTATAATAAAATTTGTTTCAACATAGTGAACAATAAGAATTTAAAAAAAAAAACCTCATTGCTTTGTATGAAACCCAAATTCTATATATACAGGGTTGGAGTGATTAACCACAATGTTATTTTTGCAGAAAATATGTAGGTTTATCTACTTATAAATAAGGCTTTCTATATACACAATAAAGGCTATATAACTTTGATACATTGAAAAAAATCAAAACATACCTGAAAAAGAGTCAAATGGGTAAGAATATTGTGAATTTAGAAAACGGCTTGTTATTTTTTTTAAAGATTTATTTATTTACACAAAAACTGGGGTACAGGCCAGATTCGCAGGAGGGTGAGAGGATTCACCAGAGGTAGAGCGAGGAACAGAACAGGCAGACTGAGAAAATACACTGCTGAGGGGAGCAGCGGGTGAGACAGGAGAGGTCTGCTCACCATGTGGGACCCTCACCGGCCAGCTGGGATCGAACCCGCGCTACAGAGGCTGCGGGCAGCTTCACTGTGCGGCGTTCAACTGTCTGCGCCACCAAGGGAGGCCCAGGAAAAGACTTGTTATATTTTTATGTGTACAAAAAAATATAAATTTCCATTTTTATCCGTATTTTCTTTCAAACTTTAAAGGCTTAAATCCTTTCTTTCTAAATCCTCAGGGTCATCAGATTTTCCCTCAACTCTGTATGTAGCTGTCTAAAAAGGAGCAAACTATTTAAAAGATATACAAATATTAGTTCCATGCCATGCATGCAGATTCTGCTGGGGAAAGAGTTCCTGAGCTGGCAACCAACCCACTCAAGTTAGTTTGAAAAAGTAATACCTTATTAGAGGACTAAACTGACTTCCGCACAGCTTTCACACATCAGTAGTTTGTTTTTCTTAGGTTTTTTTTTTTTTAATTTTATAGAGGCATGTTTGTTTGTTTTGTTTATACATGCACTGGATACAGTCAGAAGCGCGGGAGGGTGAGAGAATTCACCAGAACCAGAGCGGGGAGCAGAGCAGGCAGAAGGACCGAAGCACACTGCTGAGGGGAGCAGCGGGCGGCAGGAGAGGTCTGCGCAGATTGTGGGACCCTCCTCCGGTGGCCGGGGAGCAGCCGGGGATCGAACCGGCGCTGCAGAGGCCGCGGGCAGCCTTAGGTTTTTTTTTCCCCTGTAAGCCTATCTTTTTTTTAAAGATTTATTTATTTATGCATATAAGAACTGGGGTACAGGCCAGATGTGTGGAGGAGGTGAGAGGATTCACCAGAGACAGAGTGGGGAACAGACAGGAGAGGTCTGCTGCACCATGGGGGTATCTCCCTGGCAGGGAATCGAACTTGTGATGCAGTGGCTGTGGACAGCCTCATAGGTTATGTTTTAACCCCTTGCGCCACCAGGGAAGCCCCAGTAGTTTTATCACTGTAAATTAGTAACATTTGGCTCTTAGTTTAATCTGTACAAATGTAATTCTATGACAGGGGTGTTAGCATATTTAATTCTATGACAGTGATGTTAGCATATTTAAATGTAAACCAAGTTTTTTTCACATGCAAACTGCTGTTTTCTCAATATCACTTTCTTCATGAACAGATGAAAAAGAAAATGGTGAAAAGAAAAAAAATGTAGATGGTCCAAAATGAGACAAAAATTTCATATATTAAGACATAACTGGGGTAACCTTGTATTGTAAAATAATTGTTTATTATTATATATAATCAGCAAAATAGCCTTGTCTGAAAGCACGGGATCAAACTCATCTTCCCAATTCCTTCCAAGCAATGATTCTACAAGATATAATAAACACACTTATTAAAGGCCATCTACATTAGAACTACAAGTTTATATTCCTATATAATGAACTTCAGTAAATATAGCAATGATTCAAATATATTTATTTAAAAAATTGCAAACATACTCTGTGTTCTTTTCTTTACCTCCGAGATAACAGTCACAAGAGATTCTACAACTTGATTTCTTAAGAACCAAGAGCCAAGTACCAACTAAAATAAATATGTAACCCAGGCACATGGAAAGGTATATAGAATACTGAAAATAATAAACCAGTGTATTAAAAATCCAGTGTTTCAATTGTAAGATTTCATTTCAATAGTTAGGCTTATTACTATTATAAATAACCTTCTTACGAAGGCACCTGTCATTACCTATGAGGAAGATTCAGATTCAAAACAAAGGGAACATGCAATATAAGACTTTTCTTTCATTCTGATATTATGGATATCATCAACATTAGATGTTAAGTTTTTGTTATAGCAGTAGACAAATATCTTTGAATATATTGCCTACATACATTAACACTTTAGGTATGTAGTACCTTAATTAAAGTATATGAGCCTTTAATGAAGAAATCAGCAGAATAAGAGAGATGGATGGCAAAGTACTAAAGACAAAAAACATGGTAACCTTTAATATTACTCAGCATTCAAAAAAGATAAACACATGCAATTTGCTGCAACATGGATGGCGCTGGAAGGGATCATGCTCAGCGAAATAAGCCAAAAAGAAAAAGAAAAATACCGGATGGTATCACTCATAGCAGGAATCTAGAAAACTTAAATAATGGACCAGGAAAATGAAAAACTATAAGAAAGTGAAAATCAAAATCAACAAAAAACTATGAACCAGAGACACTTTTAGGGGGGCGGGGGCGGGAGGGGAGGGATTGGGGTCAGAATGGGGGGCGGCAATTGTATGGGGAATATAACAATAAAATTTATAAAAAAAAAAAAAAAATAATGTAAAAAAAAAAAAAAAAAAAAAAAAAAAAAAAAAAAAACATGGTAACCTTTAAGAAAGAAAAGAAAAATTATACAGTGACTATGAGCAGACCTTGGCCAAGTTATTTAGCTTCTCTAAGCTTCACTCTTTCCATCTGTAGAATTTCAATACCAGTTGCTCTGTCAAGTTCTTAAAGATATTGTGAGATCATAGGCCTCCCTGGTGGCGCAAGGGGTTAAGCATAGCACTGTGAAGCTGTCCGCAGCTCTGCAGCACCAGGCCAGCCAAGCCAGGGAGCTACCCACATGGTGCAGCAGACCTCTCCTGTCTCACCCACTGCTCCCCTCAGTAGTGTATTTCAGTAGATCTGCCTGTTCTGCTCCCCACTCTGTCTCTGGCGAATCCTCTCACCACCCCCAGCACCTCTGTCCTAAACCCCAGTTCTTGTATGCATAAATAAATCTTTTTAAAAAAAGATATCGTGAGATCAAATAAGGTGATGTAAAAACACCTGGCACACTCTGAAGCATGTATAGACAAATGGTATTACTGAGGCCAGAATATATCAAGGTTTCTGATATTCTCTCTAATAGCTATGGTCCATTCTTTTTGCATCCACCTTAGAACCCCCAGTTTTAATCAATTAGACAGTTGAGGCTAAAAAGAACAAATATTTATGCAGAGAAAAATCTCTAAATTTTGGCTTGTAGAATTTCATAAAGTAGCTTGCTGTGAGTAAGGAACCACATTGTTTGACTCTTTGTAAGATAAAGAAGGGGCAAACTTCTCAGAAATCTCAGCTCCTGGCCTTTTTTTAAACTGCTAAGACCAACATCTTCCTCATGTTCTATCATGCAGCATGCATAGTTCCATTAAAAGAACTCTATCTTGGGCCTCCCTGGTGGCGCAAGGGGTTAAGATGCAGCACTATCAAGCTATCTGCAGCCACTGCAACACAAGTTCGATTCCCGGCCAGGGAGGTGACCCACATGGCACAGCAGACCTCTCCTGTCTCGCCCGCTGCTCCCCTCAGCAGTGCATTTCAGTAGATCTGCCTGTTCTGCTCCCCACTCTGTCTGGTGAATCCACTCACCCTCCCAGCACCTCTGTCCTAAACCCCAGTTCTTGTATGCATAAATAAATCTTTTTAAAAAAATTTTTAAAAATGAAAGAACTCTATCTTAGAGGAGCATAAATAAGTTTTAAAAGAGTATTAAAGAAACACAATTGAGGTCATTCACAGTTACATGATTCATCTTGGCCCAAATCTAAAGTGGCTCAATAACCCTTATCAGGCTCTCCCTTGCTTAGTTCACAGTCATTCCTTTATGTAAAAATGGTTCAAGCCAACCCTTTCCAAACTACATTCTGAGAAATACTAGTTAGGAGAAGAATTAATAGATAGAAATCAGATCTGCATTAAGAAGGTTTGGCATATGCAGGGAGAAGTCAGTGTGCATACTGCAAAATTTCTCAGTCTTTCATATACCAACTGCACATACCAGAGGAATGGACTATACAGTATTTCCCAAACTCATCTGACTATAGAAGACCCACTCCCAACTAGGTATGTAGAGGGGCTAATAACTATTAAAATGCCGTGGGCTGACAGAGCGGAGTCATTTTGCTTACTAAATCAGCTACCGTGACAACCTCCTGGATTCCTCTTCATAAGCATTCTGCTCTAAGCTTCTAAAAACCTAAATTTCCTTTATAGCATACTGAAAATCCAAAGAAGTTGGACTGTGTTAATGAGAATTGTATTTTTTAAGGAAATCTATATATTCTTTCCCAAACATTCAGAACAGAAAAATCCTGATCTTAGGACCTAGAGTCACAATTACTTTGTGGAGATGGGAGCATTTTATCACATCACTGCAATTAGCACTATTAATAAGTAGTAATAGCAGTAGTGGTGGTGGTGGTAGTATTAGATCAGAATTTATTTTGCACTTTCATCTTCGTAAACACTCTATGAACTTAGTGCCTACTATTACATTCATTTTAAAAACAAGTATACTAAGCTTTAGAGAAGATTAAGTGACTTATCAAGAGTCATACAGAAGTAGTAAGGACTACATATCAAATTCATATATGATCCTTCACCCATGTTCTTAAACACTATATAATATTTGACCTTACATTTTAGTGACAAAAGTATTTAGGTCACACTTTGGTTGTTAAACAGAAAAATTAAAGTGTTTTTAAATAAATTCAATTTGATTGAAAATTGGTTTTGTGGTGGTGTTTTTTTTTGTTTGTTTTTTTTTTTTAGCAAAATCCTGCCCCCTAAAGGAGATATTTACAGGTTTAAAAAACAGTGAAAAGAGTAGATATTTCACTAGGGTCAGGTTTACATATGGGGAGGATTTTAAAAATCTGCATCCAAGGTGAAGACATTATCTGTCGTTTCTGCCATAACTGCAAAACGCTGATACTCTGAAACTCGTTTCTCAAAGAAATTTGTTTTCCCTTCTAAAGAAATGTTTTCCATAAAATCAAAGGGATTTTCTGCCTGAAAAACCTGAAAAGAAAAGAAATGTTGTTAGATATGGTGAAGATGCCAAATTATATACCACAAAAAGAGCAACAAATAACTCAGCATTCAGTTCCCCCACCTGCTTAGTTACCAGAGGGACCATATTGTTCCCTAAGGTCCTGGAGGTTCTCAGGGTTGATCAATTTTAAGATGACTGAGGTTACTTATTAACCTCCTCAAGAAAATAAACTAGCATACCTGGTATTGTGAGAACTAGAATGGGAAAAAGGGATTATTTCAGAATATGAAAAATTTAATACCAACCAAAGTAAAATGTTTCCACAGTTTAAGAGGCCCAATACACCATAGGTATTACAGGCACTTTCCATCGGTAGTACCATTAGGTAGTTACATATATATGATACCATGAAATATGAAATTGTCAAAAATGTTTAGTTATGTTTCTTAGTTCACAAGAAAACAGATAATCAACATAGTAATGTTAAGAGACTAAGATGAGGGAAGATAGGATAAATGTTGTCCATAGATCTACAGACAACTGCTAATGTCTCAAAGCAAAAAGTGGGGTCCATGTTGACAAGAAGGTTACTACTTCTGAATTCAAGAAGCAGACTTGAAGCTACTTGATGGAAAGTATAAGATATTTCAAAGATTCATGAGGAGCAATAAAAGAAGATTTTCGAATTGCGGAGTATTACAGCAGGAATTATGAATACTAGATAATATCTTCAAGTAACCCAATAAAAATGAGCAAAGAATTTGGATAGACATTTAGACATTTCTCTAGTGAAGACATAAAAAGGACAATCAGCACAAGACAAGATACTCAAAATCATCATCCACTGAGGAAATGCAAATCAATATCACAATATCATTTCAGACCTACTAGGATGTCTAAAAAAACAGAAAGACAGATAAGTGTTGCTGAGGATGTGGAGAAGTTAGAACTCTCACACACTGCTGGTGTTAATGTAAAATGGAAAATAGTCTGATAGTTCCGAACCAGCAATTTCACTCCTAGTTATGTATCCAAGAAAAGTGAAAACAGGGGCCTCCCTGGTGGCACACGGGTTAAAGACAGCGCTGTCAAGCTGTCGCCAGCCACTGCAGCACAAGTTCTATCCCTGGCCAGCCAGGGAGCTAACGCACATGGCACAGGAGACCTCTCCTGTCTCGCCCGCTGCTCCCCTCAGCAGTGTATTTCAGCCAGTCTACCTGTTCTGTTCCCCACTCTGTCTCTGGTGAATCCTCTCACTCCCCTCACCTCTGGCCTGTACCCCAGTTCTTGTATGCATAAATAAATAAATCTTAAAAAGTTCCAAAGGATTTTGCAAAGCCAATTTATTCAAAACCAAAGGAACAGACAAAACTAAACCAAGACAAATACTAGAAATCTGACTATAGAAATTAAGCTACCAGGGGGATTATCAGGGGTTTAAAGCAAAGTGGGGAGTGGGCCCAATGGACAATGATAGAGGATTATGGGTATCTTGGTGGTAGGTGTGGTAACATAGATCTGAAGAAGTGTGAACCTATAGCGCTGAGTCAAACACAGTGTAAACCATTATTACCTCAAGAAAAAAAAAATACAGAAAAATTAAAAAAAAATTTATTTAAAAAAATAATAAAATCAACTTTAGTGAATAAAACCCAAAAATCAATTCAATTTGTCAAAAAACAAGGCTCTGTTGTGGACATTGTGAAAACAGACCAATATGTTACAAGTGCTTTCAGTGAAATAAAATATTTTAGAGACCTTACTTGACTATAACATTTTCACTAGTAGCAATACATTTTAAACAGTTCACCTTTGAGAATCCAAGTTCTGCCAGTAATCTGTCAGCTACAAACTCAATATACTGCTTCATCAAAACACAATTCATTCCAATGAGGCCAACTGGTAAGGCTTCTGTTAAAAACTCCTGAGATATAAACAAAAGCAGAATAAGTACAAAGAACAATAAATATGTATTTTCCAACTAAGAAGAAGATTCTAGTTTTATTAATCTTCTAAATCACTGATCTCATTCAAGGAAAGTACACTAGGATAAATTCTTTCAACATGACACTATGAATTTATTTTTAAATGTTTGGGGCATTATTATTCACATTATTTAATATTTCCAAATAGTCAAAATAAACTGAAATTATGAAATTACTAATTTTTAAGAAGTAGCACATATAGGACTTGAATTCATAAGCTGTCTCAACAGAAAAAGGAGATGTCTTATTCTGAAATATATTGAAAAAAAATTCTTCAACTGTGATTATTATGGGGAACATGTCTATGGAAGGGAGTTGGAAGAGTAAACTTGATTTAAAAAGAAAATGAAAAATTAATAGTAATGGATCTGTAGGTTGGAGGATAAACTGAACATGAACTATATTAAAAAACAACAGTAAAGTGTTAATAGAGAAAAAATAAAAACATTAACCATTTGGATTTAATGCTAAAAACAACTGAAGATTACTTAAATGCATTTTATGCCTTTTGCTCCTCCCAATAGGAAATTTATGACTATTATACTGTGCAATACTAAAAGATATTTTTGAATTTATTTTTCTAGTTCTTTCAAATGATAAAAACATATCCTTAGTGCGAAATTCAGGTCTTTCTAATCAGAGATCTTTGCATGCAATAAATTTTCTATTCACTAAGTCATTTATTTATTTATTCTATAAACATTTGGTGCATGCTTCAAACTAGACACTCTGCTAGATTTTTGAGAATACAAAACAAATTGTCATTGCCCTCCAGTGGCTAAAAATGTTAAAGTATAAAACTAATTAAAATAATTTGTTATGACTTGAAATCTGACCTATCAATGAGAACAGAAAAAATCGTCCTGAAACAGTTAAGTATACATGAAACCTTAATGTATAATAAAGACTAGCATAAGCCAAATTATAAGCTGACATAACTGCAATATATTACAAATTGGCACTGTCAGATTGACTATGTAAAATGGTTGATATTTGTTTTAACTCACAAAATGACAATTTCATGAGTCAGCCTAGTACAGTAATGGCACCAACATCAACGAAAGAGAGATGTGTTAATTACAGAAGTTTCCTAGCTTACCTGCTCAATTTCAACAGCATTAACAATGATCTCTCTGACCCTTTCTTCCGAGGGCTTATTTAATAAATATTGAAATATCAGGCAAGCAAAGTCACAGTGAAGCCCCTAAAGTAGAAGAAAAGCACCACAGTCAGAGAACATTTAATAAGTCATTTCCATATAGTGATTCGGTTGGGCATTATATAAAGTAGGTTCTAGGAAAGCAACATAAAACATCTGGAAGAGGGGTGCCTCCCTGGTGGCACAAGGGGTTAAGCACCGCACTGTGAAGCAATCCGCAACCTCTGCAGCACAAGTTCAATTCCTGGCCAGCCAGGGAGCTACCCACATGGTGCAGGAGACCTCTCCTGTCTCGCCTGCTGCTTCCCTCAGCAGTGTATTTCAGTCAGTCTGCCTGTTCTGTTTCCCATTTTGTCTCCAGTGAATCCTCTCATCCCCCTCCCCTCACACCTCTGGCCCATAGCCCAGTACTTGTATGCATAAATAAATAAATCTTTGGGGCCTCCCTGGTGGCTCAAGGGGTTAAGACGTAACTTAAGAAGCTATCTGCAGCCACTGCAGCATGAGTTCGATCCCTGGGAACTACCCACATGGCATAATAGACCTCTCCTAACTCGCCCACTGCTCCCCTCAGCAGTGTATTTCAGTCAATCTGCCTGTTCTGTTCCCCACTCTGTCTCTGGTAAGTCCTCTCACCCCCCTGCATCTCTGGCCTGTATCCCAGTTGTTGTATGCATAAATAAAATAAATCTTAAAAAAAATGAATTTGGTATAATAAAAATGGAAATAAAATTAAGAATACCATCTGAAGCTGTATAAAAGAGAAATAGCGGGCCTCCCCTGGTGGCGCAGCGGTTGAGTGCTGGGCTGCGAGGCTGCGAGCAGCCTCTACAGCGCCAGTTCATTCCCCGGCCACCGGTGAGGGTCCCACAAAAAAAAAAAAAAAAAAGAGAAATAGCACTGCAGATAACTCAACCAAAGAAAGTAATTTGTGAATTACCGTTAGAACAGAATGGTTATGCAAACACAAGAAAGGGTATAGAATCTTAAATAATTGGTGAACAGAGCAAAAAGATTCAATCCATAATAATCAGGGTTGTAAAACACAGAACAGACAGCAGAAAGCTGAAAAGAACAGAAGAAAAATTTAAAAAGTAAAAACAAAAAAGAGGACAAATCCAGAGATAGAGAAAGATGATGCAGTTCTGACCTAAATCAACAGACACTGATACCAAGATGAATATTTCTCAATTAAAAAAGAAGAAAAAACAGTGTTGCAAGCCATAGAGGGGGAAGCAGGAATGTGATTAAAAAAAAAAAAAAAAAGAAAAATAACATGACTTCCGGATTTCAAATTTGGATGACTGGAGAGAGGGGAACCCCATTCAATGAGGCAGGAAAAACAGAAGAACATCATCTCTGGGGAGAAAGATTTGATTTCTGAAATATCGGGTTTGAGATACCTGTGGAGACTTCCAGGAGAACATCTCATATATACTTGAATAAATGCATTTGGAGGCTAAAAATAAAGCTTTGATTGTTATAAGTATCTGGGTTTTTTTGTTTGGTTTTTTTTGTATAGAGGAACTGGGGTGTAGACCAGAGATGCTGGGGGCTAAGAGGATTCACCAGAGACAGAGTGGGGAGCAGAACAGGCAGACAGGAGAGGTCTGCTGCGCCATGTGGGTCAGCTCCCTGGCCAGGCATTAAACTTGGGCCATGGAGGTGATAGCACTGAGACTTAACCTCTAGGCCACCAGGAAGTCCTGTTATAAGCATCGAGATGGCAGATGATCCCATGGGAATAAATAAGATGGATTAAGAAGACACGCACAGTGAAGAAGACAGGCCAAGGTGGGAATGCAGATAGTGAAGGGTGAACAGACAAGACTGAGAAAGAATGGTAAGAGAGCTAAGAGGAAAATCTAGAATCCTAGAAACCAAGGAAAACATGACTTTCTTTCTTTTAACTACCAGTGTATTTGTGTCACATAAGCATTTTCCAGAGGACAAAAAATAAGTGAAATACAAATATGAATACAAATTAGAAGAATACTTCATTCCTTACTTCATCTCTGCTGATGAGTTCATTGGAAAAGGTGAGTCCAGGCATAAGACCTCTTTTCTTTAGCCAAAATATTGCAGCAAATGATCCAGAGAAGAAAATGCCTTCTACAGCAGCAAAGGCCACCACCCTTTCCCCTGGAAGACATAAAATAGCTTTCTGAAATAGATACTGAGGACATTTTCAAGCTTACACATATATACATATGTGTTTATATGTATGTATTTTTTAATATATTTTTATAACAACCCAACTATTTTGCCATGAAACAAAAAATCTGTAAGATAGAGCTTTAGGGGTCTTCAGAGGAGGAAAATCTGACGACTCTACCTCTTCAAATCCTGTCAGACATTGGACTCCTATAGGTCTTTGTACCCGGGAAAAACAGAGCTTTTATATTAAAAAAGAGGTGATTTATCTGATGGCCTGTACCTGTAAGTGCAGTTTGTGCACATGTGTACGTGTATGTACTGGAGTGGAGAGTAGAAAATAGATTTTATAACAAATGCCTCCCTCTTTGTGGTGAGAGAGAGGAGGTTGCTGAGGTTTAAATTTTTAGAAGTCTAAGGTAGCTTACAGATTAGCTGTAAACATTTCAAAAAACATCACCATACATCTCTAATGAAAAAAGGATAAATCTATCTGAAGATAATAAACATATCTATTAGATAGCTACGTCATCAGTAAAAATGTTGTCTCTGCTAAATGTAAAAGGCCCAGTCTTAAAGGTCACTCACTGTTAGGGACTTTGCAGAAGCCCGTCTCCTAAAATGTCTATAGTGACAGCATGTTTGTAATGTTATTCCCCGGGATGAATACAGGTCCAACCCCAAAATATCATGCAGATGCTCCCCATAGTGCATCTGCTTGGGAGAAGTATTTATATATGTGCATGGATAGAGAGGAAGATTTGACTTATATGACTGACTGTGGGCAAAGGCAAGTGAATGCCTGAACCAACCACAGACCTGTCTCATAGGTGATAACATCATAGCTTGTGTCACATTATTTGTCACAGGCCCAAACAGGCACTTAACAAATGTGCCCTGAATTGAATTAATGTGTTACATAAGCACTAAATGACAAAACACATTATAAGCCATTTTATAAAAATTGCTAAAATTCAATCCAAAAGCTGAACATAAATTTTAGAAAAGTAATTATAATATTTAAATTTCAAAAAGAAAGATGACTAAGTTCAATATTTCTAGGTCTCTCTAAATAGTGCTCTTGCTTGTCCTTGTTCTTTTCCCTGTCTTAAACAAACCAAATCAGAGAGATCAATTATATCAAATACTTACTCATTAATAGCCCAAACATCAGAAAAACTTTCATAGTATTTTATTTTTAGAGATTTAATTTTAAAAGTAACTTTGAGGGCCTCCCTGGTGGCACAGGGGTTAATTCTCAGTGCTGTCAAGTTATTGCCAGCCACTGCAGCATGAGTTCCATCTCCAGCCAGGGAGCTAACCCACATAGTGCAGCAGACCTCTGTCTTACCTGCTGCTCCCCTCAGCAGTGTATTTCAGTAGATCCACCTGTTGTGTTCCCCACTCTGTCTCTGATAAATCCTCTCACTACCACCACCACCCCCGCACCTCTGGCCTACACCCCAATTGTTGTATGCATAAATAAAATAAATCTTTAAAAAAAAGAAAAACTTTGAAAAAAACAGAAGAAATGTAAATTAAATACTAAGTACATATTATGTAGAAGGAATTATCAAGAAGAATTTAGTATTCACTAAATATTAAAATATAGTAATAATCTCTATACTATGCTGACTTTGAAACATACCTGGTTCTTTAGACTAGCTAGTTATACTTCTTAAGATGGAGATCTGTCCTAGTTTAACATATAGATAACTGTATTCCCACATTACCGTTAACAAGATAATGGAAGTTGTCATTGATACATTTTTTAACTGCCATTAAGGTAATATCATGTGCACATTTGTGCAATGGAACTAGACTATGGAAAATTATTATTTTAATTAATCTATGTATTCATGTGAATGCTGAAGAATGTAAATGATAAGACAGCTACAGAAGGCCATTCTCTTTGAAAAGGATGGAAGGACAATGAAAGGCAAAATTTGAAAAATTTCCCAAGAATAGGTGTAAACTCCTGATGGTCTCACTCATAGCAGGAATGTAGAAAACCTAAATAAGGGACCAGGAAAAAGACTAACTATAATAAAGAAAAAAATCAAAATCAACAAGCAACTATAAACCAGAGACACACTGGTGGGGGGAGGGGGAGGAAGGATTAGGGTCAAAATAAGGGGGGTGCAAGTGTATGGGGAATATAACCAAAATGAAAATGTATACATTATGCAAAAATGAAAAATGATGTAAGAATTATATAAAATAAAATATTAAAAAATACATTTTAAAAATAAATTATTTTTATTCAAAAAAAAGAATAGGTGTAAACTAAAAATAAACTTTAAAAATATTTCTTCTAAAATGTTTAATGACTGTAAACCCCTCATGATTTGATTTAGAGATGGAAAATAGGTTGTATTTTTTACCTCTATGATGCAATGCACTAAGATCGGATCGCTAAGATATTTTTTCATGTTTGAAATGTAATTCTAGCACGTACATGGAGGTGGGATCTCTATATTTAGTGTTTTTAAAGTTCTTTAAAGAAATTTTTAAAAAACTACACAGATGCATAATTAAGAATTTTTAGTTCTACAGGAATGGAATCTCCTTATAACATATCGACTTCAAACTAATTCCTTTTTAAGAAGTAGTCTTAGGTTCTTTCTAGCTAAAAGTAAATGATCAGGGCCTCCCTGGTGGCACAAGGGGTTAAGACACAACCTATGAGGCTGTCCACAGCCACTGCAGCACGAATGGCCAGGCAGCAGCCCACATGGCGCAGCAGACCTCTCCTGACTCAAGCACGGCTCCTTTCAGCAGTGTTTTTCAGTCAATCTACCTGTTCTGTTCCCCACTCTGTCTCTGGTGAATCCTCTCACCCCCTGCACCTCTGGCCTGTACCCCAGTTCTTATATGCATAAATAATCTTTAAAAAAATAAAAATAAAAGTAAATGATCAGAGGAGTCTGGATCTAAAAGAAGAATTGCTATACTGGGTCCTACTTAGAGCAGAAGTCACTAAGGTCACCACAAATGCTAGGGAAAGCCCATAGTCAGATGAAAGAGAGGCCTTTGTTAACTTAAAATTACTAATGAGGCAGACAGCACAAAGACTTCACTTCCTCGTCTGCATAATGGGAAGTGAAGGGCACAGCAAAGCAAGACATTATTTCCATGTTATTGTCATTTAGCTCCATTCCCAAAAAGGAGAGTCATCAATGTACTCTTCAATCTTTTTCTTTCCCACCCGTTCCCCTGCACCACTTGAGACCATGTTCTTTTGAGACTCTCAATCTGAACCCTAAATAGGGCTGGCCTGGGAGTAAGCAATATGGATAATGTAACTGGAGCCCTGGATGTCTCCCGATGACTTCCAACCTCCTCCATTTCTAGGTTATCTTCTCTGATAGTATCACAAAATGCATGCTTCTGTGAGCTTTCTCCATCATGTGCCATCAGCACTGTCTATACTAACATTTTCCATGCATATTGAACACCTGGTATTTCCATTCTTTTTCTCTAAAACCAATAGTTCTGAAATGTATTTGTCAAACCACTTGTGAGAGTATCAACTGGGGATAAAATCCAGACTCCTCAGTCCTACCTGGGCTTCTTAAACCATTCTCTGGTGAGGACCAGGATTCTGCAGGCTTTTTGTTTTGTTTTGTTTTTCACAAAATCTCCAGACGATTTTTATACCCATGAAGATAACCCTTTTCTCATTCTCAAAATGGACTGAAGGTAATACAAACATAGGCTTCTTCCCTGACAAACTATATGCACACCCAAACCTCATGCTACATGATTTTCAATGTGTGGTCCTGGAGATCCACTGACCCGAGAAATCTACCAGGGCAAAACTATTTCCATAAAGATACTAAAACACTATTTACCTTTTCCACTGTCATACTCCCAGGAGCATACAGTGCTGTTTCCTAGAGAAGCTACATGACATCTCAATAATCTGAAAAGCAAAATACTCCCCTTGCCTTTTCTAACTACATATCTGAAGGAGTCAAGATTTTCTGTATTACTGTAACTAAAACAACACTCAGCAACAAATTGAATGTGGAAGCAGAGATAATCCAGCTGTCATCTATTAAGTCAGACATGAAAGAGATTTGTGAAAATGTAAAGCTACCATTCTTCTCATTAATTTTCTTTAGAAAATAAAGTGTTTTTACAGAAATATGTTATTTGTGTTAAAATATAAGGGGTACTTACTACTGCTATTTATAACTGTGTTAATAATGTTTTTTAAAGGTTCTTGGTTTTCATTTCTAGTATGGAAATATCAATAACCCACATAAACAGAGGCATTTTGTGGTCCTCAATTTTTTTTAATAAATTATTTTATTTTATAATTCTTACATCATTTTCATTTTTGCATAATGTACGCATTTTCATTTTGGTTATATTCCCCATACAATTCCCACCCCTTTTTCTGATGTGGTCCTCAATTTTTTTAGAGCTCAAAGGAGTACGGATGCAAGTATTTGGAATACTGCTTAATGAATCCAAATCATTACAAATAATGAATAAAACCACAAAGAGCACCAATCATGAAAGAAATACTTAAGCTGTTCAAATATTTAAATATTTTAATTACATGTAACAACTATTTATTCAGCAACTACTGTGTATAAGATACAGTATTAATCCTTAACATTACTTAAAAGAATGTTATTTAATATCAATTCATCTACAAGGGTGTTTGCACACATATATGATAAATAAGCCTGTTGATACAAACTGTTTCTTGCCCCAGTTGAGTGAAATAATCTTGAATTTTTCAGACACTACAAATTTGTTCCCTGAAAAAATGTGAAGACTTTAATTTGCTTTAAATCCTTGAAATAAACATTTCTGAAAGATACAAAATTGGAATTGCTATAAAATTCTTGTTGGAGTCTAAGTGACTGAATCTTATTTTCATCTAATTAGGCACTGATATCTTAACCATTCAATGTTCAACTTAGTAAACAGAATAACAGCTTCATATTATTTTATCATTGGTTTCTAATTATTAGGAATGAGGAGTCTACTAAAGGTGCACACTGAGATATTTGTATCCCTTTCCCAAACTGTGACTTTGACTAGCACTGTGAAACCACAAAATATTGAGCAATGTAATCAATCAGAGGTTAATCTGATCTACATAAATTCAAGCTACATACCAAAAGAAGATTTTCTATCCGCTATCCATCGCAAGGCCCAATCTGCTTTTTTCTTTACAAATGGCATTGTTTCAATTGCATTAAATAAAAATTCCCTGTTAAAACAAAAGAATTCAGAACAAAGCTATTCACTTGTTTTTCTTAACTGGGATACATTTTCATAGATGTTATTCAGAGATGATAATTATAACTCTATAATATAAGATCTTCAGTTTTTCTGCAATTTTAACATGCCCATAAAACAGAAATAAAAGTAAAACTCAAACTTTATGGTTTGGATCTGGTCTGACACAAAATTTACTAAATTTGAATAATCAATTGCTAAATAGAATGTTCTCCATAAATAACAGGTTCTATATGTTTTCTTTTAACCAAACAGTAGAAAACATTATATTTCTAAAATTCCATATTTGAATATCATTTCCCTAACAGTTTTATTCTCATAACATAATCAAGCAATAGTAAAACACTCTGTGAATAAAATCCCAGTAATACCTTTTCTTGGGATCTCTGATGTAAGTGTCTATTAGCAAACTGTACATCTCTGAGTGAACATTCTCGATGAGAATTTGAAAGCCATAGAAACAGCGAGCCTCTGGAACTTGTACCTCCTGACTAAAGCGCTCCACCTAAGAACATAAGGGAAAAAATATATCCAATTCTGTGGGGTCTCATTAAACACTGCAAGTCAAAACCTGGATATCAGAATTGTCACTTAAAAGTTGTCGGTCATGCCACAAACAGGATGGAAAGATATTACAGATCATTTAAGTATTAGCATTTATCATCAAACCCCCACAGCAAACAAGTTGCATAATATATTATTTTACAATCATTAATCTAATGTCTATAATGCCAACTCTACTTTAGAGCATTTATCAAAAATAACTTGTTTTGTAGAATTAATCATTAAGTCACTTTTTCCTCCCAACAGTAGACAGTAGATCTATTTAAGCCCTTTTAGTTCATGATCAAAGTCCATAATTTTCTATTCTTTTTAAAAAGAAAGCACACATCCTAGCTAACCTTAATACAAGTTTAAAAATGGGAGGCTGGAACCCAGTCTTCTGTTACAGAGCTCCAGAAGGTTATTAAGATTCAGGTTCTCTATTAGGATTACTAGCTAAGGTAAAAATCAAATTAATGTTTAATTATAATTATCTTTGGTACAATATGCTTGATATTTTACAGATCAAATGACAGAAAGTATCCTTTCTTCTGACAAGAGATAAGCTTCATCTTATTCATTTTCTAGACATCTTCTTTCAGGCTCAGTTTAATTATCCCACTGTCATTATCATCGTTTAACTACTGAATGGGAATAAAAGTAAAACAAAAATCTTACCAAATTTTCATTCACAATTCCATCACTGGCTGCAAAAAAGGCTAAGATGTGAGAGATAAAGTACTTCTCATCTGCTTTAAGCTTGTTCCAGTGAGGGAGATCCTTCGATAAGTCAACCTGAAACAAAAAGACTTTCAAAAATTTTAACTTGGAGTTAAATTCTTCTCAAAGGGTTAGGAAAACTAACTTCCATCTCATAGTTAAGGAGGGATACTTCAATAGCAGTAAAATATGTTAATAGTAAGAAGAGCAAAAAAAAAAAAAAAAAAGGGGGCCTCCCCGGTGGCACAGCGGTTGAGCGCTGGGCTGTGAGGCTGCCCGCAGCCTCTGCAACGCCAGTTCAATCCCCTGCCCCAGCTGCCGGGGAGGGTCCCACATGGCGTGCAGACTTCTCCTGCTGCATCCGCTGCTCCCCTCAGCAGTATACCTTGGTCCTTCTGCCTGTTTTGCTCCCCACTCTGGCTCTGGTGAATTCTCTCACCCTCCCACACTTCTGACTGTACCCAGTGCTTGTATAATAAATAAATCTTAAAAAAAAAAAAAGAAAAAAACAATTCTCAAAAAAAAAAGCAAAAAAAAAAAAAAAAGGTTAATATTACTACTAATTACTACTATAGACTGAATGCTTCATGTCCTCAAAATTCGTATGTTGAGACCTAATCCCCAATGTGATGATGTGCTTTAGGCCCCATTTGCCACAACATGGATGGAACTGGAAGGGATTATTCTAAGTGAAGTGATCCAGAAGACGAAAGACAAATATGGAATGGGTTTCACTTATATTTGGAATCTAGAGAAAACAAACAAGAGGATCAGACAAAGGCAGAGTGTAAGACTGACCCTTGAAAGCAGACTATAGATCTGAGACACTCAGAACAGGTTGAGGATGGGGTGCGAGAGGGAAGAGAAAACAGGGGAGAGGACAGCAATGAAAAATGGTGGAGGATTTGGGGTGCTGTGGTGGTGGATTTGGGGTGCTTTGGTGGTGGGAGGGAAGGGCAGAATGGTGAGGGGAGAAACCCTATATTATAAAAAAATAAACAAGGATGTTTAAAAAAATAAATTGAATTAAAAAAAAAGAATCAGTCCTTGGGATTAGTAGAGAGACCACTCTAGAGTTTATGGAAGCTACAATTTAAAAATAGTCTTGAAATGTACCTTGCAGACCTTTTGTCTCAGGAATATCTCTTAACTATGCTTTATAATAACCTAATAAACATCTGAAATATATAATTGCCCTTTGTCCTTTTATCTATTCTAACAAATCCCTAATCGCTGACCCTTTCAAAAACCTTTTTTTTTCTAAAATGTTTTTTCCTGTTATTGTTTACTGTTTACTGAGCACCTGCTACAAGCCAGACATTGTGCTAAGTATTGGGAATATAATGGGGTAGGAGGGGGCGATATTTGTGTGCATCTTTTAAAATACACAAGGTAAATATCACATGCTATTTTATTTTTTTATAGGTTTTTTTTTAAATATTTATTTTTATTTATACAAGAGCTGGGGTACAGCCCAGAGTCGTGGGAGGGTGAGAGGATTCACCAGAGACAGAGCGGGGAGCAGAACAGCAGACGGACCAAAGCAGCGGGCAAGACAGGAGAGGTCTGCCTAGCCATGTGGGTTTCTCCCTGGCCGGCTGGGAATTGAACTGGCGTTGTGGAGGCTGCAGACAGCTTCACAGCACTGCGCTCAACCCGCTACGCTATCGGGAAGGCCCCACATGCTTTTATTAGGATCTCAACTCAGATTTAATTTAAGGATGTCTCCCTGTTTTTAATGTACTATATTCTTGATGTTAAATTTTATTATTATGTTTGCTCTTAAATATTAAACCTATCTCTTCAAGGGGCCTACCTGGGGGTGCAGGGGTTAAAGACAGCTCCATCAAGCTATTGCCAGCCAGTCACATGAGTTCAATCCCCAGCCAGGGAGAGGACCCTACATGGCACATCAAGACCTCTTCTGTCTCACCCACTGCTTCCCTCAGCAGTGTATTTAAGTAAATCCACCTGTTCTGCTCCTCACTCGGTCGCTGGTAAATCCTCTCACCCCCACACCTGTGGCCTGTACCCCAGTACTTGTCTGCATAAATAAATAAATCTTTAAAAAAAAAAAACCCTATCTCTTCAAACCCTCCATTAAAATATCTTTTATTTATACTACATTTGTCACTTTCCATTCCCAAGATGTAAACCTTCCTACTCAGACCTACCTCATTTGAGTAAATTCTCAATTTCAACTATCTAAATATTGATTCCAAATTACTGTTTGTCAGATTTGCCTGGGTAGTTCTAAAGAAATCTCAAATCCCAGACCTTTGTCTTCTGAATCATGGTGTCTGATGATCAATCATATTTAGGAATAAAGCTAAATGACTGATAAAACAATGAAACCTAAACTTGACTAAATTGTAACTTACACAACTTGTTTAAATAAAAAATGTGTGGAATTAAAAATGTGTTTGCATCTTTTGAGAAGATGCCTACAAAATAAGTAACAATATATTTTAATTTTTTTTAAAGATATATTTATTTATTTACACAAGCACTGGGTACAGTCAGAAGGTGAGAGAATTCAACAGAGCCAGAGCAGGGAGCAGAACAGGCAGAAGGACAGAAGTACACTGCTGAGGGGAGCAGCGGGTGCAACAGGAGAGGTCTGCGTGCCATGTGGGACCCTCGCTGGTGGCTGGGGATCAAATAGGGACTGCAGAGGCTGCGGGCAGCTTTGCAGCCCAGCACTCAACCGCTGAGCCACCAGGGGAGCCCAGTAACAATATATTTTAATTTTTAAAAATCAGTGTTTTCTAGACAAAGTAAAACATACATTATATTTGCTAAAGATGCAAACAATTTCCAAATGAATTTCAAGAAACCCAAGTACTACAAGTACCTTTTGGCATGATGAATGATAAAGCCACCTGCGTACTCCATTTGTTCTCTTAACCATATGGAACAAAGAAACTTTCTAAAAACCACAAACAGTTAAGGACAGTCAGGTGTGCCTGGTACTATGACCTAATTTGAAAATACTAGGTTTTTTCATTTGGTTTTATTATATGTTAACTATAATTTAACAAAATGTTAATTATATAACAATACAAAATAACAAGGATGGGTAAGTGGGTAAAATTAGTGTAACAGAACCTTCAAAAATTGATACTTTCTGGGGGAGTGGGGGTGGGGAGGGGAGGGATTGGGGTCAAAATAAGGGGGTCGCAATTGTATGGGGAATATAAAAATAAAATAAAATAATTTTTTAAAAAATTGATACTTTCTGATATCTAGTGTCACTCTCCCCCATTCTGCAGAGGAGGTGGGGAGGCACAAGAGCAAAGCAGGGAAGGGCCATTATGGTGGAGGATTATTATTGCTTTGGTGGTGAACCAACACCTAAAGACCAGGGCAGGAGGAATCCTGTATTTCCATAACACAAACAATATAAATCAACATTATCTCAATAAAAATTTTAGTTAGAAAGTATTTATAAGTGGGGCCTCCCTAGTGGCGCAAGGGGTTAAGCACAGCACTATGAGGCTGCCCGCAGCCTCTACAGCACAAGTTCGATCCCTTGCCAGGGAGGTGACCCACATGGAGCAGCAGACCTCTCCTGTCTCACCCATTTTTCCCCTCATCAGTGTTTTCAGTCAATCTGCCTGTTCTGTTTCCCCACTCTGTCTCTGGTGTATCTTCTCACCGCCCCCTCCTGACTTCTGACCTACACCCCAGCTCTTGGATACATAAATAAATCTTTTTTTTTTTTCTTTTTCTTTTTTTTTTTTTTTTTTTTTGTGGGACCCTTGCCGGTGGCTGGGGATCTAACTGGCGCTGCAGAGGTTGCAGGCAACCTCGCAACCCAGCACTCAACCGCTGCGCCACCAGGGGAGGCCCTAAATAAATAAATCTTTAAAAAAAATTTTATAAGATATTTACTCAAGGTTTGAGATATAATAAAATTAATAACTTTTTACTGCAAAAAAATATATAATAGCTTACCTTTGTTTGGTGCTAACTAAGTGCCATGTAACATTCTAAAGACCTCTTTAATCCTCATAACAATCCAATGAACCAGGTACTATTAGCCCAGTTTACCAGTGAGGATACAAGGGGAAGGCAAGTAACCTTCGTAGTTCCAGAGTTAGTAAATAGGAAAGCCAGAATTTGTACCTAGACAGTGGGAACCAGAGCCTGCATTCTTAACTGGGTGTGTTCACATGTATAGAGCCAGCCTCTGGAATAACTGACAGACAGGTTGATAGAGCCAAACATATCTATCCAAAAAGATACATGCAGCCATATAGATAAACACTCACACGAAGCATGAGTGACATGCAGATATAACCATCATATTCAGAGATGAAGACAAAGAGCAACTATCTGGGCTCAATTAGACTACAGAGCAACCACTTGCAAACCAGCTGTCCTTTCCAAGCCAGCAAGTATTTTCGAATTTGCTGTGTACGACTCATTTCTTAGGTGGAAAATGCCACACTAGCAGAAAGCTTTCTACAGCTGTCCTATCTGTTGAGACAGCTGTGCCTGAGATTGTGGTTGAGGACCAGACTAGCAGAAGCGCTGTGAATTCAGCCTGGCAGGCTGAGCAAAATCTCTGTGTAGACAGCTCCTTCTGTACCATCAGGTCTCTCCATTGAAAGCTGTGTCCCTAATGCTTTCACTTTCATTTTCTAATTAGTTGTCATTTTAAATATTCTGCTGACCCTAAGTAAAGACTAGTCTCATTGAGGTATAGTAAACCAAAAGTCTGTTTAAAAATAGAAAATGTTTAAAAATATATAGGAAGAAAAATCTAGCAGACTAAAATGTCATTTTTTGCAGCGGGAAACATATTTACAGATAGGAGTCTAGACACCAAACCTTGGAAAACACCAAAGTTAATAATTTGAAACATGAGCTTGTAAAATGATCCTCAATGTATCTTTAAGTTAAAATTTTCAATATCCTCTAACAGAAGGTGTTAACCAATAGAATATTAATGCTGATAAAGGTGATACCACTTACCTCCTCTGCCGTCCAGAAGGATGCCTGTGCTTTTTTATACATTTTCCATATATCAGGATACTGGATTGGAAAGATGACAAATCGACGAGAACTCTTTCTTAGGAGTGGCTCTTCATCTTCATTGATGGCTGAAGATAATCTCTGAAAAACAAAGTAGAAACAACCATTTTGTTGTAGACATTTCTCTTCATTCCTATCTAAATACACATCTGGGGAGTCGGGGAACAGCTTAGGTGTTGACGCCAGCTTGCCTAAGTTGAATGCCTAAGTAGGTTAATAGTAACTGGTTAGCTAGGTGACCACAGAAGGTACTTAATTTTTCTTAGCTTGGGTTTCCTCAACAGTAAAATACCTACTTCACAGATTGTGATGAAAAGTGCTGTAAACAGCCTGGTGCATAATAAGCACTCAGAGATATATTGTCATGATTATTACTTTGTGAGTAAGCAAAAAAACGAGTTGCAAAACTGTCAAGGTAGTGGATAAATTCTAAGTTTGTGAACAAAATGTTCCCTTAGTGCCTCTCTCAGAAGATGAGGATGGGCATGAAAAGGCTACTATAATAAGCTCCTTTTTTCATTTTTTACTAGAAGTAACTTTCTAAGTCTGGACTTTATGGTATGTGAGGGACAAAGAGAAGACATGAAAGAAGGTTGAAAACACCTCCAAATGTATTGTGACAAACCCTGTGGTCCCTTCTAGTGGCAAAAACAATAAACATTTCACTTTTGGATGTCTTCAACCTTTTAAAATAGAAATAAAAATAACAGATGTGTTTTTTACTATACACAGGAAATCACTAGTGTCCAGGTCGTTAGTTTTTTTTTTTCTTTTTGGATTATCTCACATGAAAGTTTTTTGAACTATTTCTCCTTAACTAAAGAATGCCATGAGAGGGAAAGACTAGCAGTTAAAAACAACAAAATCACTGTGACCATTTGTGCTTATTTTTCAGGAGTTAACCAAATTTTTTTTTTTTTCAAAACTAAACAAAAAGGAAAAGCTTCAGTAATAAGATGACAGTACAGGCTTTTATTCCCAAGTGACACAAACTGGTAGTTGAAAATTGACTAAATTAAGGAATCATAAGAAAATTATACATGCCTTTAAATATTTGATTTAATTTAAAACAAATTTACATTTATTTACTAATCTGCTATATGGCTATTGTTGACTTGGCTCACTGATTGGAATCCCCAGTCTTTCTGACATAAACATACCATAATTAGTTGCTTGACACTTTCCAGCTTTAACATATTTAAGATAGAGCCACCTGTGTACTGAAGGCTTGTCTCTTTTATGATTCCTCCTAATCGTTTTATATTTGTCTCACTTGCACCTGATTCCACAAACTGTTTTTTTTTAACAACTAATCTTTATTGATATATAACACATCTGGCATCTGGGAGCCACTGAGAGTTTCCAATCAGGCAAGAAACAGCTAACAGTAACCATGCCCTACCCAGGCTGGCCTATGGCAAGGTCTCTCCTTCCATGCAGTCTCAATTCCACCACTTTCATTTGCTTGCCTTTCATCTCTTCCACTCCTCAGGTGAAGTAGGATATTGGGATGTTATCTAATCGTATTTTCATTCTTCTGTTCCCACTAAATCTGATGAAAGAGGTAAATACTCGCCCAGGAACAAGAACTTCGTTTTAAACTTAGCTCAGTTACTGAGTTGTGTGGTTCTGAGTCTGTCATTTAAACTTTTGTGGCCTAAACTTTCTTACATTGAAAACAGGAACTATCAATTAGATTTTGATAGTTAATTTTATGAAAGCTATGGGCTGGATGGACCTCTTCCTCAGGAGATTCCCATCTGCAAATATAAAATCTACAAACTTCAGGAGAGCTATAAAACCCCCTTCAAATTCATTTATAAACAATTTAAGGCAGAGTTTCTTAAAATAAGTGTACTAAGATCACCTGAAGTGCTTGTTTAAAATGGTCTCCTGCAGAATTAAGGCTGCTACGGGTGGGTGGTAAAGTGGAGGGGGGAGCTCAGTGGCCCCCTATATATGCTTTGATGGTAGTGGTGGTGTGATAACATACATCTGAGGAGGTGTGAAGCTATTCACCTAAATGATGTACAGTGTTATAAACCAATGTTACCTCAGTAAAGAAAAAAAAAAAAAATGTGGTCTCAGACCCATGCCAGGAGATTTTGAGCCACTGTGTCTGGCGTGAGGATCCATTAATGTACATTTTTTATAAAGTACTCCCAGCGTTCTGATGCAGGTGACTCATGCTGCCCCAATCTAGCTAGAGAAAGTACTTAAAGCATCCTTGCATTTTCAAATAAAAAAAATCTTCGGACTAGATGATCACGAAAATTCATGCAAGAACTAAAAGTCTACCTCTGTTTTTGTGGGACTGTATCACTGAAATAGAGAAAATAAACAAAAATAAATTTCTGGGTCTTAAGTCTCAGTGGCTGCTGGTATCAGCACAAAAAGAAAAATCAGAATTAAGTGGGGGAACTAGGCACTAAAAGTATCTGTTTCAAAAGAGAAAATTTAAGGGATATTTATTATCTGTTAGTTACTTAATGTGTGCATAATCGAAATAAAATTCCAAATCTGGAATCTACAATTTTCTAAAGAAATGTAGGGTTAAGCAAGAGTCCGTGAGCGCTCAAGCTATTATATCAAAGCCACCACACACAGCAAAATGGCTCCAGATAAGTACAAAAAGTAATTCTCTACTACATAATGGTTGAGAAGTAATTGCAAAATAACAGGGTATTGAAATTATAGAGCAATAGCTTGAACAACCCTACAGTTTAATAAATCCGGTTTAGTTGCTGTTACTATATACTTGCAATAATCAGAACCCAGAGAAATAAACACGTTAACTTAGGTTTTACTAAGCACCCACAACTTCCTTAGAAATTTGCATAAAACATTTTAATCCTCTGTGAAAAAAGGTATCACTTTCAGCGTGGAAAGTGACATCCCAAAGACTCTGCTAAGTAGCCGGGTTTGAGCAAAACAGGCCTCCTAACCCGATTGTTTGCAGCATCACGAGGATTCCAGTCGCCCTTCTACCTACTGTCTCCTCCTCAAGCTCCAGCGTGGGCTTCCCTGTGCATCCTCCAGCTCCCTGGAACCACCGCACAGGGAGGACGCGTCCTCCAGCACAAGAACCACCCCTCGCTCCCTGGCTGTTTCCCGGACCAGGGCTCCCGACAGGCAAGACCAGGCGCCGAGCAGCGGGCATCTGAAGCCAGGGCGCGCCCCGCCGGGCCAGGCCTCGGAGCTCTGGCCTGGGCTGACCTCGGAGCTCAGCAGAGGAGCCGCCGCCCGCCTCGCTCTTCGCCCCCCCGGGACCGCCTCCCAGGCGCTCGCGAGCGAGAAACCAGGCTACGGCGCAGGCTCGCGGTCGGGCCTGCACCGGGTTTCCGACCGCGATGGTGCCATTTCCCACAGCCGACCTGCACCCGGCAGGTCCCCGCCGCAGCCTGCAGCCGGCGGCCGACGCCACAGTGGGGCGGGACGGGAGGGGCAGCGGCGTTTACCTCCAGCAGCTCAGGCCCGGCCGCTTCCGGCCTTCCCGGGTCGCCCATCGCGCAGACTCCGCCAGGCTGTGGGCGAGGAGGGAGCCCAGCGCCTCGGGCCACCTCCAACTAGGACCCGGCCCAGGTGGCCCGCGGGTGTACTGGGTACGCCCCGCCCCCGGCTCGAGGACACGCCCCGCCCCGCCCCCTGAGCCAGCGCTGCGACTTCCCTGCCCATTGAGGGACACGCCCCGCGCTCTCTGGCCCCGCCTCCCGCGCCTCAGGCCCCGCCTGCTCGCATCAAGACCCCGCCCACTCCGCCTCAAGACCCCGCCTGCCCCTCCTAAAGACCCCGCCTGCCCCGCCTCAAGACCCCGCCCACTCCGCCTCAAGACCCCGCCCACTCCCCTCAAGACCCCGCCTGCCCCGCCTCAAGACCCCGCCTGCCCCGGCTCAAGACCCCGCCTACTCCGCAGGCCCCGCCCCCAACGCACGCATGCCACGCCCGCCCGCTCTGACTCTCCCTCCGTCGGCCCCGCCCACCCGGAGGAAGAGCTCCGCCTACCTCAGCCGGCCCCGCCCCGCTGCGCCAGCCCCGCCCCCGCGGTCCCGCGGAGTCTCGCCGGTCCCGAGGCCCCGGGCTCTACGTCCCAGTGCAGGAGGGACATGACAAGCCAGGGCGCCTCTCCAGATCGGGGTCCCCCAGCTGGCTCTCGCCGCCCCGGGAACACGGTAGGTCGCGCCCACTCCGCCAGTCCTCAGAGACTGCCGGGGCGGTGGGACCCCGCGGGGGTGAGACTCGGACGACGCGCGTCGGGTGGGCAGTGGTGGGGGGAGACCCCCGGGGTGCAGCGGGCCCCCCAGGTACAGAATGAACGGGGAGGAAAGGCTGTCGCAATGAAGTGGCTGAAGTTCCAGGGGGTGTGTGTTGGGGCGGCTGGGGCCGGAGAGTGAGCAGGGGGTGACTTGGGAAAGCTCTGCGAAATTGTTCCAGCCAGCCAGGTGAGCGCTGAGCAGTATTCGTTGAGCTCTCACCACATGCCCGGCGCTGTGCCTTACGTGAGTTAAGTCATTTAATCTTCAGAACACCACTGTGGGGTACATGTGGCAGTGTCCCTAACATTACAGAGGAAGAAACTCAGTCTTACTATAAATAACTAAGATGATCCAGCTGAAATGGAGTCGAGGCCACAAGCTCCTGGCTGCAGGCCCTTGACAGCGCCAAAATTTAAAGTAGTGGAGCAGGGGGATATTCTGTGCAGGCAGCGGCAGTGACTACTGATGATAATAATTTGGTTGAATTGCTAATACCCATCTCTCAAGGGGCACAGTCTAAAGATAACTTCAACAGAAAAAAGAAGTGTGGCGTAACAAAAATAAGGTGAAAGAGATTTGTTTAAGTAGCTTGAGGCTGAAACATTGGAGGAAGCTGCTGCCTTGCCTTCAACAACATGCACCTGTTTTGTTGACAGCTGTGTGGTGTGTGGTAAAAAGGACTGAAAAATAAGCTTGAAAGATATTTGAACCTGCCTTAGAGTGAGGGGTGACAGTTACCCCTTCTCAAGCAACAATTAGCACCCAAGTACTGGGTAAATTTTTATTTTACATATAGTAATTTTAACAGGTAAATAAATTCTATGCGGAAACTGAGTCTTTAAAGTTAGATAATGTCATAACCACAGACAGATAATTTATCAGACCACATGGCAAATAAACTAACAGCAAAAATTCTTATCACTTAGTTGTAGTGCCATGAAGGGCACAGTGCAGGTTTTCTATGATCCAAGCAGACGGGGTGAAGGAGAGAGTCTTGGTGCCCTCGGTGGCTTTTCAGGCTTTTATTGGGATTTCACTGAGTACGCGGCAGGCAATGGCTGGCAGGCCTCCAGTGCCCCCAGCAAGTCTTCTCTCTGGGCTCTCCAGCATTCTCTCGTGGCCTTTGCTTCTCTGCTCCTTTCGTTCTGCTGGCATCCTCTTGACACCACCCTTATAAGCCCCATCTCAACCCAGGTGAATCCCATCTACCTATACCCACACCCTACTCCAGGTGCCCACCATCAGGCATGCATTCAGGACCGCAGATCCATCATCAACCCTAATGATGGGAAGGAAGAAAAGCCTGATACTTTTTTACCTTACCCTACATTAGTCATCAAACAATATATATACTACATGTCAGGCACCAGACCTTGCTTGGTATTGAAGATACAAAAATTAGTTTATTAAAAAGTGGATCCTGGAGCCAAATCACGATGAGTATGAATTGTAATTCCCCCGCTTAATAGCCGTGTATACATTTGTAATGTCATACAAATTATTTAGCCTCTCTGAGACTCAGCTTCCTTATCTGTAGTATAATAAGTCCTTTCTTATAAGACTGTGATTGTACTTATTGGGTTGGGAGATTACTTTGATATAATGGAAACTTCTAAGTACACTATTAGAAGGCATGTAACACATGGGCAGATGAAATTGAGTTGTTTGAAGTCATGTGGTTTTTTAAATTAATTTAAATATACATCAAGGGGAAAGAAAAGAGGTAGCTAACATATTTATGATAAGGCATGGTAAGGAGATGAGGTAGAAAGGCCTTATTATCCAAATCCTAATGTTACTCAGTGTTCAGAGCTTGTTTTTGCTACATCAGCCTTCCTAGTTAGTAGTATTATTACAAGGACCGGAGTTGAGGATAAGCAAGGGGTCTCGGCAGATAGTATGTGGAGCCAACACACTGGATCTTTTGGAGAGATGCAAGAGTAAGTAGGTCTGGTCGAAGCTGTAATTTGCCATTAATTAGTCTGCCGACTGAGTTTTATCTGTTTCTTGGGAAGTGTCAAAAGGATGTCACTACTTGGTAGCTGATTTATGGATTAATAATTGTCAGTTTGGAGGTGACATGATCCTTACCTTATGAATATTTCAGATTTACTTGGTCCTCCCAGCTCTATTCGTGACACCGATTTCATTGTTTTATCTATGTTAAACTAAGATATGTTCCATTTATTCTATCTTTAAGATATCACAGGTTAATACTTGCTATTTATACTTAACACATTTTTTGTATCTCCTTATGTCTTACAAGCTATTTGCTCCCACACTTAGTTTTCTTCAATTTCTATGGCAGAATTTAATATTTTTAAATAATATAGTAAAAACACATTACAGTACTTACAATAGTACCTGGTGCATAATAGGCAGTTGGTATTTGTTTCCCTCAAAATATTTAAGTTAGTGGAGAGCAAATGTAAAAATAAACAAATAAATAGATGTGTATCTCAAAGATCTCTGGGAGTAAGAAGATCTACATCTTCATATAGCCACTATGGTGTATTTCCCCAAAATATCTGCAACAGTATTTCTAGTCCCATGTGCTGTTCCAGCATCTTGATTGTCCTTCCAAAAGATAGGGTCTATTTCCCCTCCTACTGTAGTCTGAATGTTTGTATCTTTCAAAATTCACATGTTAAAATTTGATACCCCTGAGCCTCCCCTGGTGGCGCAGGTGGTTGAGTGCAGCGCTGTGAGGCTGTCCACAGCCTCTGCAGAGCTGGTTCGATTCCGGCCACTGGCGAGAGTCCCACATGGTGCACAGACCTCTCCTGCCGCACCCACTGATCCCCTCAGCAGTGTACGTCGGTCCTTCTGCCTGTTCTGTTACACGCTCTGTCTCTGGTGAATTCTCTCACCCTCACCCCCACCCCTGGGATCTCTGGCCTGTACCCCAGCAGTGTATTTTGTCAGTCTGCCTGTTCCGTTCCTGGCTCTACCTCTGGTGAATCCTCTCACCCTCCCTCGCATCTGGCCTGTACCCCGGTTTTTGTGTAAATAAATATATAAATCTTTTTAAAAATAATAATAAAATAAAAGCTGATGCCCAATGTGATAGTATTAGGTAGGGCCTTCACGTAGTAATTCAGTCATGAGTGGAGACTTCATTAAAGTCCTGGTAAGAGACCGCAGAGAGCTTCCTCACTTTCTGCCATGCAAAGATATAGTAAGTTTGAACCCAGACAAGGGCCCTCATTCCATCATGCTGGCACCCTGATCTCCGACTTCCAACTTCCAGAACTATAAGAAATAAATGTTGATTATAAATTAGCCAACCAGAATAGACTACAGATGACTACAGTAGATTCCCTGATGGGAAGGCCTGGAACATAGCTGCCAAGTTAGACTGATGCTTGTAGCCCTGGGGGTCTACATACAGGTTAATAAAACTGACTCTCAACTAGGCTTTGCTTACCCTGTGGTAGAAGTAAATGCTCAGCATTCTGAAAGAATTTAAGCAGAAGATATTGCATCAACTTAGATGTCCCATGGCTGTTTCTTCAGACCAAGGGTCAAACACACTTTACAGCGTGTAATGTCCAACAGTGGGCAGAGATATCCTCCTCAGTTAACTTAGTCACAGTCGACATAAATATGAGTTGGGCTAAAAAGGATTGTTCCCAGCAGGGAATGTTTTGTTTCCTCTTGAAGCTAGAGACAGGGGAAATGGAGAGAGTGCTATTTTCTTCACATCACTTCAACTTTTTCTTCTTCCTACTTAAGGTAGTAGTCTTAGGACCAGGACTGCTGAACCACTAGGGCAGGAAACAGGGATGATTCCTAGGCAAGAAATCATAACTGTTTTTTAACTTTCATGTCACAATTCCTAAGTACATGATGAGTGGAGCAAAATGTGCCTTCATCCTGTCTGCCAAACTAGGACTAACAGAGAATTGGTGGAAAATTTCGGCACCTCAAAGTGGAAGAGAAGGAAAAATAGTAGCAATGGG